GCCTGGCGTGAGTTTAAGCCACTAGGTCCGGGACTCAAACCGCGATTGACGACGTGGGAGTCCAGTGACATAGCCATTACGCTAACTGCTGGTCCCAGAGCAATGAATATTTAAAGTATTTAATAGCCAGAAAGGCATGGATATCAATCAAAGTAGATGCCAATAAATATTCTATTATACTTTTTTTTTTTTGAGAGAATACAGCAAGATATTTAGGATTATCCCATGGAAATGCAAATGATAAATGTGACACTTATGTGATAAACAAATATACTGCAAGCTTACTGAATGGTCAAAAATCAAACTCAAATAAATGCCTAGTGATGTGACTATTGTAAGCCAGTCTTCCCTAAGGATATCTTCATTTTAGCTCTCTTGTTGACATTTACTTTTGACATCTGGTAGTAAGAGGTCTTGCTGAACCAATCTGATTGTTTATATTGAACTCCTCTTCATATTTTTGCTCTTATTTTTCCTGCTAAGATTCTAAACCAAATATCATCTTAAAGAAGCTGTCTTCTATCTTTAACTACTAGACCAGAAATAACCAGAATATCACCCAGAATGTTATTTAAATTTTGTAAAGTTAAGATTTTTAATATTGCCTTTGCTGTTATCTAAATCATTGAAACTTTTTCCTCATTATTGAAGAATGCATAGAAGTCAAATTCTCTTTTTTTTAAAAAAAATACATTTATTTTCCAATAGCACAAGGAAGCTGATTCATATTTGTCTCTTGTGTTGTCTGCCTCTGGAGAACAAGCTGTTTCAGTTTATGCTTGTCATTGTCACATTCAGACTACAAGTCAATAAGGCTTGCTTTTCTTCCTTAAGTTCCTTTTTTTGTGGGCTCATGGAATTAAGAGACAGTAGAACAAAGGCAAGTGTTTCCTAGACAATCTGCCCCAACACTCCATCCAGGGTTGACTACAATCAGTTTGCTCTGGGACTAACTAGAGTTGAGAGATATTTAACTTTGCTCATGGGCTGTACTTTTTAACATCCATATTCTGTGAGTTAATAGAGAAGTAATAGTGAAAGGGACATTCTTATTTTCTTTGCTAATTTAGCTCTCATGTCCCATCACTTACTTAAGTGGTTAGAGAAACAAATTAAAACATGCCTTTATGTATCAGACACTAAACCAGGTACTTTATATGTATTATTTTCTTTCCATGTAATTTATTTCAGTTTCTAACATATTTACTGAACTGTGGTACATCCATAAATAAACACACACAGTTTATGCCAAATCTATATTTGTGACTATGCTTTAGAAAGCCAGTTTAGGGCTAGGTTATGAGTTTTAATTTTTACTAAGATTTGCTATGTTTAAAATATAGATAACAATGTGTAATGCAAATAAACAGTTATATGATAAACTTCTATTTTACATTCACTGAAATAAGATGATAGAATACTTTAAAATATTCAAGTTGTCCCTGTGTTTTCTCAGATTTTTCTTCCTAGCATAATTGTGGATGCCTATAATCTAAAGGTAAGCATCATTTGAATTATGTGTTGTGGAGACCTGCTCTGCTGTGCATGAGCATTACCCCTTACTTTTACTTCTTCTAACAAGGTTCCAAATTTTATTTTTCTTAAGTAATAGCTGAGGAGTAAATCAGGTGGAAATTATTAGAACATTTCCATAGGTTATTTCATCTACATTGGCTCTAGAGCTTGTGGCTAGGACTTAAATGATTGTAATTACAACAGGAATCTCTCATAATGGAGTTTTCTGCATGAATAAAATAAGAAGTCCTTCTTCCTGTTGGGAGCCTATCGTGAGAGTCACCATATCAGTTATTTGTGCACATTTAGCTCCCTCCCCATCCACACCTTGGAGGATAGAGTATCAAGATTACTTTTTATAGCCAATCTCATTTTTCATATGAAAATACAGACTATTAATTTATAAGGAAAAAGTATAAGTGTATAAGTGGATGGCCAGCAGGTGGCATGGTGGTTGGGGCACTGGACTCCTGCATGGTCAACTGTGGCTCGAGTCCCAGTTGGAGCAGCTTGTTTTCTCATTTCTCTCTCTCTCTCTCTTTGTCTTTCTCTGGTGAGCACACATGACCTATAGCAAATTAAAATAATACTAGTAAATTACATTAAAATTTTAAATAAAGTGTAAGTGGAAGGAGAGACCATAATCATGTAGAAGTTGATCAGAATTCTAATGAAAGGGTAATGTGATGACTTATGCGTTTAGTGTAAAGAAATGACAACAAATTAAGGAGCTATCTCAATAAAACCGTGTTACTGTCTCACATACATCATAGTCATTCCTGAAAATATAGAATCAACATTCAAAGTTCTCCATTCTTACATAATCAGTATCTGTATCAGCTTAAATCATTTTGCCATATATAAAGCAATCAAACACATAGTCTCAGAATAGAAATTCTCATTGGAATTTATCTCATAGTGTTAGAAGATAATCACAGTTAACATAACTAGGTTTGAAAAGACAAAGAATTAACATTGGACAATGGACCACCTTTTTTCCAGAGATTCTGCTTAATTCTAGTTAAGTGATTTGAGTCAGAAGAGACTGAGTGAGGGCTTACATTTCTTCGCTAGCTAATCACTATCATGACCAAATCAGCCCATTTCTCTTCTGGCTAAATGCATTTGTGGCACAACTCATGATTATGCAGGGTACATTTGAACTTGAGGCCATGGCTTTCATATATTAGAATAGGGATAACGGAAGATGGAGGACCCGCTCCTCAGTATTTTTGGAACTGTCGCCATGGTAAATGGAGTCTTGCCATATTACCATAGCATACCTGGGGACTCATGGGACTGCCTTAGTTTGGGAAGAAGGCAACTTTGCATTAAAAAATGATATGAATCCACTTTGTTCTCCTCAAAGATAGGATTCAAAAGCATATTTTAACTCATTTCATTTTTCTTGCTAATTTATGACTCCCAATGTCACGTCTCTGGTCATTTTTTGAAGCTCCTTTTCTCCATTCTTGCAGAATTTATCATTTATTTAAATAACTTAAAGATGAAAAAGAAAAGTAGATGTGGTACATGTACTTACTTGAAAAACATGAAAATCCCTAGGGAAATCACTAAGGTGAAAATCGACAAAGAATGACCCACGATAGCCAAATAGTACAGAACGTATGCATTCTGGAACAAACAAACAAACAATTGGGTAAATAAATGATTATAGAAGAGGGAAAATAGTTTCCATTTCTAAATATGCTTAAATCGAGCATCTTCCTCCTTTAAAAATATCTACTAAAATTATAACAATATTTTAGAGAATGCAATGATTTATATTTACACATGTTATTTTATGGAAATAAACTGACCTTTTTCAAAGAATAAAACTCCTACAGATGAATCAAATATCACTGAAAAATACATTTTAGAATTAGTTTTAAATGTATTTAAAATGATCATTCTTAAGCCTAGTAAGGGATCCAGGCAGATTTAACTTCTGACGTCTTTTTGCAGTGACTATGTCTACCCTACGATTGGCAGAATAGGAATCTACTGTCTAAATTCTTCTGATTCTCAGCAGTAGGAATACACAGAGGAAGCAGACAGCCTGGTAGCATTTCCATGCTTTAGGTTAACATGGAATCAATAATATGAATAGTTGGTTGGAGAAACTGAAATCTTTCACCTTCACAGTCATTTGCAAATTCTTTTTTCCTCCCAATTATTGTTCATTTTTATTTATTCTCTCATGGTATTATGTTGACTCAAAAAATGCTTTCTTTCACAAAATGTGTAATACCATAGCATCTTTTTCCTAAGCATCATGATCTTTCTTTATATTGGGTCATCGGAAAAACCATGATGTATTTTTCTATGCAAACTGTCAAGGTCGAGTCAGGCATCATGACTTTTTCGACAACTCAAGATATTGATACTTTTACCATACAGGAAGAAGAGAGTGCTCGTTTTCCATCACTGTCTTCTTTTTCTTTGTTCTTTTCTCTTGCTCTCTCACTATTTTACCACTACATTTTGCAACTAACATTACTTAGTCAATTTTGTCAACTTAACTGAAATAGATTTAAATCTATTGGAATGTAGACTTTTGTTTTCATTCGCTGTTTAATATAATTTGTGTAATTTTTCTTTTTGGTCGTTTTTTCTCTCTTGACTTTTTTTTTTTTTTTTGGAGAGATTTTCACTGTAGGGCACGTGCGCTCGCCAGACAGACAAAGAGAGACATAGAGACAGAAAGCGAGAAATCACCCCCCAGGGGGGATGGTCATGCTGCAATCCCTTCTCCTCCATTCTCCTCTCAGGATCTTGGGCATGCACGCACACGCGCCCGGCGTGAGTTTTAAGCCACCAGGTCCGGGACGTGAACTGCGGTCGACTACGTGGGAGTCCAGCGACATAGCCATGACGCTAACTGCTGGTTCCCTCTCTTGACTTTTGACCCTAAGTTTTTTCCATAATTTGTTGGGTCATAATAGAAAGTAAATACAGTGTAGATAAGTTGGGCAATTTCTATGAAGTTCTTTGACTTCCTGGAATAAATGTGGCATTTATGTACTCTTGAATATTCTGCTGCTTGTCACTTGACTTCTGAAACATCTGAAATTGAAGCACTAATTCTGTCACAATGCTTTGAAGATGTGCAGAGCCCTTCAGTTATGTGCGTTATTGCTCTCCAGAAACAAATACTGTTTTCTAGGCCTTAGAATTTCAAATTGGAATAATCAACCTCTAAATTGTACCTGTTGCACTGTTTGATCAGAAATTTACTTATTGTTTGGCATTTTCATTATTTATATGACTTTTTCAATGGCATTTCTTACCCTTACAGGCAATGGTAGTAATGGAGTAGCTGGTTTATAATTGGGCCTGCTAACAACTTTAGATAGCTCTTTTGGGAGAGATTTTAGAATCTTTTTGAAAAAGCAAACACCTAGCTCTTGTCTTTCACTCGGGAATTTGTTTTTTTTTTTGATTATTTTTCTCTTTAACACTGAACAAAACTTGGAGTGGCATTTTCTGAAAGTTTTTACTTTTTAATAGTTTACTATACAGAACCCCCTTACCACTTATAATACTTCATTTAAATAATATGTATGTGTGTATATATATATACATATATATATATACACATCCAAGCCCCAGTACAGTCTCACTATTTTTTAACCTCTACACACTTTATTCATCTTTCCCCTTAATTTGTCAGTGTGTGTGCATTTACCACACACACAAACACACACACACACACACACACACACACAGAGAGAGAGAGAGAGATGGAAAGTGAGAAGGAACCCCCCATAGGGAACAGTCACTTCACAATCTCTTCTCTATCTCTGCCTTCTCTTGGGATTTTGGGCGCACAAACATATACACCCACTGCATTTTACAAGCTTCTGGGGCTGGGACTCGAACTTCACAGTTCATAGTAGGATCCAGCTCACATAAATACTGGGACACAGGTTGGTCCCTATGTGCTTTATTTCTAAGAAAATTTTATGTAACTTAATTTGTAATTTTGGTGCCTTTAGAATACTCCTTTTTGTTGTTGTTGTTTAAATATTCTTCTGAAATAGAATTGCATAAAAGTGTGGGATTAAATCAATAGCTCATAGTATAGTTTCCATTCTTGTGTCATTCTTAGGTCTGACAGTAAAATTAGGGTAGTAGACACTGCAGAGGTTGGGTGGGTAGCTGTTAGCTCAAGACTTGTGGAAAAATCTGTAGTTTTGGAACTTTTCCAGGAGGAGCTATATTAGAGAATCTCCTGAAAACATTTTTTTCTATAAGGCCTGGTTGCTGGCCTCACAGTAAATTCTATCTTCTGCTCTATAAACACTATTTCCTTTGCCATTAAAAGCTAGATTCCTCATGGAATGCCCACTGACAACAAGAATCAATCAAGAACTGAATGGTCATTTTCTCCAGCGTCACTTTCAAGAGACTCTAGAACTGACATGTCTTTATCTGATTGCCTGCCATAAAATCTGTTGGCAATTTGATCTGAGATATCCTACAGTTAATAATAATAAACGGCATTCTCACTCAATAGCACAATTTGGAATAGAACCTACCTTCAGTTTTTCAGGAGTGAAAGCGTTACACAGAGTGTAGTTGGACCAGGTTCGATTGTTGTCAGGATGTTTAAACCAAACCCCTTTCTCATCACAGTATTTCGTTACCTTTTCTGTTGAAAAAATATTACATGAAAGTACATTAATGTCTCGACATTCAAAGAAAAAAGACAATTAAGACGTGAAGTCCCAAGTGTTAATAACTTTATAGAACTTGAATAGGAGTGTAAGTCAATAGAGAGCACCATGAAGACAAGGTGTTTTCATATATGTTGTCTCATTTTATCAGCAAATCCATGGGGAACAGAATTGCCATCTCCATTTCCAGACAGGAAGTGGACAGCAAGAAGGGTTTTAGAGTTTGACAAGTCATGAGCCAGGATTCAAACTTACGTCCATTAATTCCTAAGTGCTATCTCTATTCTACCTCATGTTTTTTAACAGATATTAATCTTTTGGTTACAGACAGAAACTATGTTAGAAGAAAGAGACCAGACCTTTTCAGACCTTTCTTCATTTATATACAATATTTTTTATTAGATTGACTGTATGGAACTGTAGTTTTTGTAGATAAAATGGTTGAATATTGCCTATTTCAGATAGTTAAACTCAATACAACAAATAAGTCCAAAATTGAGAGATGTATCAAAAAAGTCATTTTTCTATCTCTCAAGAAGATTTCATTTTAATCATCTTTCTTCTTCTCACAGAAGATATATGGTTACTCATAGCTTTAGCCTTTACCATGTACTTCTTTAAACAACTCCAGATGCTAGTTAGGGAATTTGCGGACTCAGCTGAATTTGACATACTAAAGATCTTCACCTTTGCTACAGGCCAGGCACTGTGCTAAGCACTTTGCAGAATTATCTTTTTAAATTCCTTTTTTTTTTTTTATCAGAGAGATTTTTGGCATAGGATGGGTGTGCTCCCCAGAGAGACAGAAAGTGAAAAATCAGCCCCCAGAAGGATGGCCATGCCGTAATCCCTTCTCTTCCATTCTCTTCTTGGGATTTTGGACTCACATGCACACTTGCGAGTTTCAAGCCTCTGGGTCTGGGACTCAAACCGTGTTTGGCCAAGTGGGAGTCCAACAACATAACCATTATACCATGTGCTATTCTCCTTTAATGTTTTTTATGACCTCTTGAGGTGGGTATTATTTTTACATGTGAGTAAAAACAATCTGAGGCTCAGAGAAGTTTAGTATATTTCATGTCTACAGCTAGCCAGAAGTAAGGTCAGGAATCAGATTCGAGTCTGCTTGATGCCAAAACTATTTCAGGGTCAGTAAGCACTAGATCAAGCCTCCTAGTCCCATGGCAACATGATTAGTGTCCAGAGATACAGTGAGTGTAAAATGCAATGGCCAAGCCCTTTGTGCTAAATTGTAGGTGCAGGTGAGAAAATAAGATGATGGAAGTGGAAGCAGGATTTGGCATAGAAATAAAAGAAAATGCTGATTTGGACAAAGGGGCTCTTCTCTTTGGGATTCATACTTAGCAATGAAGAACAACACCTGGTACATTACCACCCCTCCAACTAGATCTCAATGATTCTCGGGTTGCTCCCTGAAGTTGAGTTCTATTTACAGGAAAAATTTCTTGTAGGAAAAAGGCAAGAAGACTTTCAGTGGGCCCTAACAAATAACCTCTCCAGTGCTTGCTTTGTGGTGCTTAACAGTTCCCATCATACTGTGGGTTATAATGAGTAGGTACACTTACAACCGATTTTCTTTCCAGACCCCTAAAAACTCTAAAAGCTTCACAACAACAATATAAAATGAAAATAAATGCTTTACCTGATGGGTCGAAGTCTGGAAAATAATCTGGGCAGTACTGAAAGGTCATTACTCCAGCTGGAGTGTCATCCCAGCACATCCATCCGTCCCAGGTGCGGTTACAATATGGACCTGCCATTTAGAAGGCAGGTAATATTGAAGCCATGTGGACTTAAGCAAATGAGAAAACTGATCCTAAGACAATCTTATGTAGAGTTGATCACACCACTCTGATCAGGATTACCCACATTTCAAATGAGCCAATCAAAAAGCTTTAGCATACCTGGGACCAGAGTATCTAGTTGAACAACAGTCAGGGCTCTAGTCCTGCTTATAAGAGGGTCCAAATTTGAACTTATCAAAAGGCAAGTAGCCTCTAAAGATTATTTATATTCTGTTTTCCATTTTCTTTTTATCGTAAGAACATAAACCTGAGGTATATATTGGTTGATAATCAGATAGATTTTGAGGCATGTTGGTAAGATTTTATGTGCTGAAAATCGATCATTCTTAACATTATCCAACTAAGAAATTGGATTTAGATTAGTATGTCTTGCAGTTGCTATAAAATAGGTTAAGTTTTTCCACCATTATTATCATGAGGACTTGAAGTGCAATTCTGTAAGAGAGCATTACTTGACAAGATTCATGACACTAATTCTTTAAAATCTTGAAATAAGTTCCAAGGATGGAATATTCTCAAAGAATATATATTGCAAAGTTTATCAACATGTTGCATCCAATCAATATTTTCTTTCTTTATTTGTAAGCAATATAGTATAGAAATTGACAAGAGGTAACTGAGTTTTTTTCTTGTGGGAAATTTGTCCTTGGCAACCTGGTTTTCATAAATAAGTGTTTTATTTTGGAGTACAGGTGTAAATGAGACCATTAAGATACAATTGAAAGGAGTGAAAAATTGGGGGATCCTTAGCAGGAAGTAATAGTACACAGACAAGTGAATACATCTTATTCTGGAATTTTCATTTGCATACAGAAATATTAAAAACAACAGAAGCAACAGCAACAGAATAAATGTATTAACCTTACCCACTACTAATAGAATTTACATTTTTGTAGGGTTTCTCCATTTTTTTCCTTAACAGGTACACACGTGATATGTATGGAAACTTTACTGCAAAAGTTTTATTTTAAACTATTTCCAGAAATACTACAAGCAAAATCTTGTAAAAGTATATACGATTTCATCCCTGGATAAATGCTTGCCTTTCAAAATCTGTATGACTTTGGAACATCCAGATCCTACTAAACACGAACCTTCAAAAGGGTTACTTTGGGTAGTTCTATTCTTAAATCAAGGGTAATGCAATTGTTCAAAATTCTTATTGGAGATATACTTCCAACCAATTAATAAATAACATTTAAAATTATTATTTATTGGGGCCAGCAGATGGTAT